TGAAATTACAGGCATACGGGACTTGTCAACTTGTGTCTAGGGGTGACGGGCGCAGTGATGGTGCACCTCAGATATCTGAGTGGCATTGTAGCTGTTACGGACAGGCATGTATCCATTAGGTGCACGACTTGTTCGTCCCGTCACTTGATGTTATAAAAAAAATAAGTTCAGTTTTCTGGCACTTTTGAAGGCATAATCTCATCTATTCGTCGTTCATTGCTGCCTTACACAACATATCACATTACTTGTAATTAGCTTAACAACGGGTATCGAGTATTTGTATTTATTGTATTTGTTTATTCATTAACAATTCAGAGTTGTGTTTGAATGTCATTGTCATAAATTAAAAATTAAGTCATAAAAATTACATACAAAATAATCAAACCTAAAATTTATAATAAATTATAACGGTAATAAAATCTCCAATTAAATAATTTGTAGAATAACATAGCCAGAACTCATAACGTTCAACAATAATAATTTATAATATATTCAATTAATTTAAAGTTTTTTTTTTAGGGCATCAGCATTTTTCCAATAATAAAACACTGTCTTTTTTTGGAAATGTTTATGTCTGTAGTAACTTTAAATTCTATAGGTATTATTAAATAGTTTCACGTACATACTAGGGGCAATGCGTCACAATATTAAATTTGCGATCGATCACATATTTTAAATCTTTCCTCTTATTAGCCTCTCTTAAAATTTTCTCTTCATTTGATTCATAGTTCGTTCTCCTCTTGAAAAGTTCTGTCAGTAACACTGATGTATAGATAACGACTGCAATGATTTTGAACTAAAATAACATGGTTTCTTGTGAAGACTACTTACTAGCATTGTGCCAAGTCCTGATGAAAAGGAAGGAAAGGACACCGGATACTATCTTTCTATGCTAGCTGAAGTATTAGCTTTGCGTCATTCGGGCATTCAAAGGACGTTCCAGTGTGTGTTCTCCAGGGACAAGTCTTATGTCCATAGTCTACTACTTTATACTAAATGTATTCAGGTTTTTTTAGTATTATTTTTTATGACCTAGGTTTACAATAAAAGTAACACGAGTTAACAAATACGTGTTATGTTGAATATTAAAGAAGTTATTGTTACTGAGATCGAGTTTTCAAAATAAATGTTAAATAAGTTTAATTTCTCGTTTTATTAAAATTTATCCGAAAAGCACAATGAACGCAACAAAGTAAATGAAAAATGTAATAGAATAATTAGTTAAGATAAAAATAACATCTTGTATTTTTTATGATATCCAATGACGAGACAACGGTGTCGTGTGCATGATGATAACGACACGCCTAACAATATCAATAGCAGTGCCACATGGTCATAGTGATCAGAGTGAAACTGCCACTGCATCGTCACCCTGAGACTTGAAGTTGACAAGTCTCAAGTGTCTGTTGCACTACTGTTCACTAGCACCCTCAAAACAACCGAAATGCAATAATGCTCACATTTTTACTTGGTGCCAGACATATCGACGGTAGAAATGTCGTTAGGAACATTTTCCAGTACGACAAAATGTCCCTTACGACATTTTAAAATTCTATACATTAATAAAATTTTTACCTTTATATCGACAGTGGAAATTTGAAATGTCATCCGGTATTTCAAATTTCCACCGTAGCTATGGTGGCAATACCTACTTTTTTTTATAAAAAATAAGTGCGCATTTGACCTACACCTCGCTTGGTGGAAAGTGACGATGAGGTCAACGATGTAGCATGCACACCTAAATAATTCCTATTCACTCTCGCCTTGAAAAGGTCCAAGTTATAATTTTCAGGGAGTAAGTCTGCAGGCAGGGAATTCTACTCCATAGCCGTTATATAAATGTGGAAGCAAGTCGCTTCGTGTGTATCCTTGGAATATCCATAACAAAGAGGTGGAATCCCAGCCTACGCCTAGTTCCCCGATGATAGAAAGGGGAAGGCGGAATCAAATTATGCAATTCCATCGCATCCTCTCCGTGATATATCCTGTAGAATGCCGATAAGCAGATAACTTTACGGCGGTGTTCAAGGTTGTGCAGCTTCGCCTCTACTTATTCCGAGTCACCTATAAGCCTCTTGCCACGTTTGTCGATTGAGTCCAAGGTGGCCAGTTTGTATTTAGCAGAGCCATCCCATAACAGTACTCCATACACGACCGGACTTGTGCTTGTCATACTTTTTAGGACCAATTCTTTGACAAATACCTCTACACTGTTAATAAGTTGAAAAACAGGTAAAAAATACTTGTTTTGGCAAGCATTTGGAAATCGTGTTACATGTACTCCTCACCAGCCCGTTCCTGTACGTCTGGCGTACAATAGACAACAATCGGCGAGTACTTTACTCCGATTCGCAAATCCTTTCACTACGATAGCGAACATTATATTATATGCCATCGATATGAAAAGAAGGCCTTTCAATTCTTTCAAATTAAAGGTAGACTATATATACATCATCGAGTGCCAGGCCTTGCAGCCTCGTACCCAAATTTCTGGCAACATTTCCCCGTTGAATACCTAAGATTTGCTGCAGCAGCTGTCAAATAATTATTGGTGAACCCACTCAAGCAGACAGTGTTGCTTAAAATTAAAGGTCTTGAAAAATGACACTCAGCTTAAAATTCCTGCGAAATAATGAGCTGATTCTGTTTTGCTGTAAAGGTATAATAAGCGCGCATTTGACCTCCATCTCACATGATGGAAAGTAACGATGAGTTCGACGTCGGAGCATGCACACCTATATGTCGACGGGTCTGCTGATAATGGGAGTGCTTCATCTTATAATGAAACTTTTTCATTACAAAATGAAGAATTTCCAACAAAGAAATGAAAATGATCAAATGATTAGTTTGGCCCTTATACTTAGTACCCATCGAAGTATAATATCTATTCACTCTCACCTTATTATGGTTCAGGGAACAAGTTTGCAGGCAGAGAATTCCACTTCGTACCCGTACCTCATAGTACAGAAAATCAAATTAAAAATATCACGTGAATATTGCACGACGCTACTTTGTTGAAACTACGGCTGTCTCAGAGATAAGGTTTTATGTGACGTAATGCGGGCTCCGATATAAGCTCGCCTTTTAGATAGAGAGACATAAAAGTAATCTTTGCCGTTCTCGGACTCGCCAGTCAATTTGCTTTTACGATGATGCTCTGCGCTTGTTACCATTCTATTATAGACTTTGCTTTGAATGCTTGTAGTTTTAAAATGGAGTTTTGTTTTATACACAATACATTTGACTGATATCTGAACACAACATTAAAAAATGAATGAATTAGAACACAACCCTTATTGCACATTTATTATTCACATAATAACAGATGGTATGGTAGGAAATAGTACAACATACAGCCCTTTTTTCAAATAAAAACAAAAACAATAATATTCTCTTAATGAATACACATTTTCTGAGTGTACTCTGTAACCAATGACAACACTTATGAATGTCCAACCGCACGGGAAAGTAAATAGGCAACGAACAAACCACGGTCCATCGAGTTTGCAAACTTATTCACTTCGCATAATTATGTGGATTACTTGTACATGGGCACTGAAAAAACAATGTGTTAGAAACAAACAATATGTTGTGAGCCTATAAAACAATGATTGCGTGAAAATTTTAAGTAATGAATTGGATCGTGACATGATCAATTCCATCGAGAATCTTTACATGCTAACTTGATTAAAGTCAATGTTTTTTAGTGTATTGCAGATTGTACTCTACGCTACAACGCTACAAATTATAGCACGTAGAGCGCTCACACTACTCTAACTTTGTTATCAGAATAAATGGGTCTGAAGCCTGAACTCTACTATATACTGATATAGTTAATCCATGACAGGTGATTCTTTTTCATATAGTTTGGTAAGTTTTAATTTTTTTTTATGGTTGTGTCCATACACTGACTTGCGACGTTATTTTCCTAAATTGTAAGACAATATTATAATACCGGATTCGTGAAGTATTTTGTGATATAAAATTATCCCAGTCAAATTTAACATATTAATTGAAAACGAAGCTTGTACAGAGCAGCTTATGTAGAAATTAATGTTACCATTAATACTGCTAAGAACATTATTCGTGTGATGTCGATATGAGTTTCTCAAAAGTAAACTTTGTGGAATTGGGGCTGATGGCAAGCGTTCCCCTTTTGGAAATCCTCTAATTAATGTACACAGTTAAATGTTTTGATGTATTTGTAAAACAAAAGAAAATTCCACTTGTACACATGGCGTGTTCATCAGGTTCAAAGGGGAAATAGGCCAGCCGAATGATAAATTATTCATCAGAATATATTGCAGGAAATGCTTTCGCAAATTATCCTATTTCCATTGCTAGGTTACGTTTTGATCTCCGTGGCATACTGTATCACAGTTAACGTAGTGTAACTTTAATTTAGCCAAGAGCAGATAAGTCCGAAGAAATAATCAAAAAATGCGGCTACAAGAACAGGGAAAGTACACCCTGAGGTCTTATAGTAGATTGTTGGAGCAATCCAATCATGTGAGCCTATTGTTACAAAGACCGAACTCGCCCGCTTTGTTGTTATTTTAATAAGAAGTTGAAATGAAGGCAGATCCATCACGATGAAGGACGAAATCAGTCAAGGAGTTTCGTAATACTAGGTTTTTTTCAAGTCCCTACTTATCCCAGGGCCATTAAAGCTCTCTTGGAGATTATGATAAAAAGTTACCGTTCGATATTGTTGAACATTTTTGCTACGTCATTAGTGATTCATCTATTTTTCAAGGAAGAAAATTACATAAATTTTGGTACGATAAGTTTTGGTACGATTAGTTTTAATTCTTGCGTATACTTTAATAGGGTACCCATTAAAAAGTGGGTACTTATTTTTATTTTTATACGCGCATGGTAATGAAACATTATTCTGTCACAGATGAATGTAGTATATTCCTTTAGAGTGCTTATTTATTAAGCAGTATTTTTTACAACACCGAACAAACAAGGATTATGAAAGTTGAATAGAAACATACCTTACAAATTCCATGGAAAAATCTGCAGCAGCATCACTAGGTTCATCCCAGCAGGACGCGGCGGCATCGCTGAAAAACTGAGCTTGCGCTGACCATGCATCACACGCGCGCAAAACTCGCCTCAGCGCTCCCACCGCTATGCGCACCGCCGCTCGAACGAATGTGCGATCTAAAAACATTTGAACTCATCCACATTTTGCTATTTTAAAGTCTATATTCCATTAATATTCCCTCCAAAGTTGCACAGACGCGATTATCGTTTTTAGAGCTCTGTAATTTGTAAGTCAATGTCTGTAATAATCATTATCAAGGACGAGAAAGTCCATTGTTTCGTAATTACTCCATTGCATGAGCCATCTTATATGAAAGATAACATTCGACTATAAAACGTGGATGATTAAGGTACGATCTCTTTTTACTAGGTATTTCGATTAATACCCGCGATTACTCACCTATTATCATCGGCTGTGGATGCAAAGCCAATAATCCGACAGGAAGGCTATTGAAGAGCACAGTAACATTATTTCTCAATCCATCGCTGTTTCTTTCCATAATTGGCTCCTTCATCGTGCGATCTTTTCTTTTCTCGATAGTATCTCTAACATTATGCATTGTAGATGTATGCACCGTGGGATTCATTAAGAAATCACTAGTATCACTTGAGAACAATATGCTATCTTTTACATTGCTACTATTTATAACTTCTTCCAACAATAAATTTTTCTCAGCATTATTCACACCATCTACATTTATGCTATTTACATATTTATTAAAAGATTCATTTTCCATCCCTAAATAACTAGTACGCCTACTATAATTTCTATCTGGGAAGGACAGTTTTTCCTTCTCAATTGAATTGTTTTCGATTTTAGAAGTTTCAACGCCTTTATTATTTACATTATAATTCCTTACTGCTTCTGTGCTAATATCACGACTATTGTCGTAAGATTGACTAAAATTTACATATAATAATTTGTTGTTATTACTGTGCGCTTCCGTCTTATTATTATTAGAATGACGAAAAAACGAATTTATTGACCAATTTTTTACATAACTTCCACCGTTAACGTTCATTTTAGAGCTTTTATGAGGTTTGTGTAGTTTCTCGCTGTCGTTTTTATCTTTTAACAAATTATTGTCACCGTCGTCTCGTTCATTGAGATCGGAACGTTTATATCTCGCTTCATCTTTATCCGTTAAGCTTTCAGATTCCAAATCATCGTCTTCGATAAATCGAGTTTTGTTGCCAATGTTGTGGAAGACGTCAATGTCTCTGGAGGCATCAACCCAAAGCCAAAAGAAATGTCCTTCAAGCATGTTGAGTCGCTTGGCCTCATCCATAACCAGCTTAGCATAATGAATGTCACATATCAAGACGACAACACCTCGGGTCAACCTGGAAACCTCGGCAAGACGTCTGCAAGACAATAAATAAAGATGTGATATTGTATATGAAAACATTGTTCTAAGATAATCAGACATGATTTGAATATAAATTTGTGAAGTTAAAGGTGTGTCTTGTTATCTGTAGTCGGAAAAGTTCTTTTCGTCTAAAATATTTTCGTCTAATAAGATGCAACCTTTTCTATGAGTAAACACTCATAGAAAAGGTTGTAATTTAATGGATATTTCGAAGATCAGTCAATCAATCAACTGATTAAATTTTCAACATTACAAATGCCCATTGAATGCTTATTTCAATGGGCAATGGGAATGTTTGTTACACATTTTGTAACGAATAAATATAACGTTTAATTAAAATTCAATGAAGACGCCTTTGGATATGCAAAGAATACAGATTCGTGTAATTTAATTTACAAAATGGTTTAGGAAAGAGATATGCTATCTATAGACTATACTTGACGGCCTCCGTAGTCGAGTTGCTTGCACACCAGTTTTTATGGTGTCGCCATCTCTGAGGTCCTGGGTTCGATCCCTAAACTTTCGCATATCGTCGTGGTTTCCGATTTCCATAACACAAGTACTTCAGCAACTTACTTTGGGATCACAGCAACGTATGTGATGTTGTGTAATATTTATTTAACAAAAAGGACCAAATAAGATTCAAAACAGTAGTTTAGGAGTAGTAGTTTTACTTAAGTAGGTGAGTGTTTTATATCAATCTATGACTCTACCATGAGATTACAATGACACTTATCGCTAGCGACCGCGTAAAATCTTTGTATATAAAATGTTGTTTCTTCTTGTATCTATTTTTGTAATTTACAATACAAAATTGTGAAGTAATATACACGGTCGCTAGCGACAACTGTCGCAGTAAACTCGTGGTAGAGGCACTGCAACTTTTCTGTAACAATTCAAAATTATATACTTGTAGATAATTCTAAAATCTAATGAAATACAATAAAATCCAGCCAATAAGTAACTTAACAAAATGCAATGGCTATTTAGTATAAGAAAATTTCTTACCTAAACAAAGCATGTCTGGAGTACTTGGATGGAAGTGAAAGCCAATTAGGATTAAGCGGCTGGGCGGTTAATATCGATGAAAGGTCCTTTCGAAGGGAGAGGGTAGAATGGATGTCCTCCTCAGCCAGAAGCGTGAAAGTGTGCCAATGTGTATGCAGGAGTGTGGCCCTGCGAATCACAAAGTTTAATGAATTGTAAAGTAAGTAGCTTAGTTGTTGTATGAAATTTCGAGATAGTTTGCAACATTGCTACCTCAACTACTATAGTTACAAAGTTACGTAAATTGATTTACCAACGTTCTAGTTCAAGCATATAATATGTTAAGTCTTATAAAATCTTGTTAGTAACTCGAAGCACTATTTACCATTATATTCAGTACTTTTAGTTCAGAAGGGTTTATATATGTTATCACGTTTTTCTCCAAGCGTAGTCGTTAGAATGGACCTGCGTCTTTTTCGGCGTTTTAATTATCATCGTCTACCTACCATACATACGATCTACACAGGGTAAAACTTTAGAAGAAATCAATAGCTGAGCATATTCTAAATAGACGATGATAATTATAACGCCGAAAAAGGAGCAGGGCCAGTCTGACGACTAAACTTGGAGAAAAGCGTGATAAACATCGTGATGAGACCTACATTTTGGGGAATGTTTACATAAATATTCTCCAGAATGTAGGTCTAACGATGTTTTCCGTCACTCCTAAAGTAAGTGAGAATATAAATAATAAAGTAAGTGATAAATAATTATAATCTTTACTAGACTTCACCTTTCCTTTCAGAAATAACACAACCACCTGCACTGGAACTAAGCGTCTTACCAAGTAGACTATCGCTACTTTGAGACACACGTCCACATTTCTTAGATAATATTATAGGTAAATATTATAGTGATAGTATTTCTCGACTCTTAAATGATTCATAATTCATAAAACAGATTGTATAGAAGTCGACATGTGACAAAATAAGTACAGTTTCATTGTGTCCGATATATTATTTACACACATTCACTTCAACAAACCAGATGTATCATATTGTTTTTTTCTTTTTCAATAAGTCAGTCAGTAATTTAAGCTCTTTAACTACATTGAATAACAATAACTACTTTGAATAACGTCAAAAAATATACAAATGTCAAAGACTACAAAACAATAAACTTTAGAATTTGTCATTTGAAAATTTCGGACGTTGTATTAGTCGACAACGTATTACATTATTGTAAATTTTTGGCGTTATTACATAAATACTTTTGTACTTCAAGGTAGTTTTACAAGCTTTCAAACAAAGTTGATCAGTATATCTTGGCTTTAGAGTTCGCGAGAACAAGTGTTGTGATTAATGAAATAATTTTCTATTACAAAATTTACTTTGGTGCACAAGTAAACATGAGGCAATTGTAAACCATCCAATAGACGTAGGTTCAATGAATGTTAAGGCATTAGCTGTCTGCTTAACAAGTAATAAAAACCCCTTTAATGACCCTTAGTGGAGTTTTCGATGTTTATGTCTGACGGTATGGGTTACCTGAGTGCGTGAAGCGTTTCTCTTGCTGTAATCTCGAGACGAATCTCCAACGGAAGCAGTTCCTGGCAACAATAAAATATTATCATATATTCTCATCATCTACAGAACAGAACATAGTATTACTAAGCACATGCTTCGTCAATGCCGGTTGACGATTACGATTATTAGTTGCAGTAGCGCTCCTTGTGAAAGAGTGCATACAGGGAAGTACTGCCTTATCTATTTCCCGTTATAATATCAAGTCCATTCGTTCTAAAAAGGACGATATGATCCTAAGTAAATATAAATTTTAAAAAGGAATATTATATCAAAAGTTTTTCATTCACTGTAATCGCATTAGGGCTGTAGGTAGGTAGAAAGTTTTTAGAAACAATATTCTTACTTTTCTTGGTTCGACCAGATAACATGGTTGAGTATTTGTTGCGTTTTGTATTCTGCTTAAAAATATATATATCTTTTTAAGTTAGTTTCTTGGTCTTAGAATTGTTAAAACTGTTTTTGTTATTTTTTGTTTCCTCTTCTTTTTCCTTTTAATTTATACACACATGTTTATTTTTGCTTGAGGTGCTCGCCTATAAATGGTTACGCAATTAGATTAGTTTGTGAAATGTATTACTTACTCTTGATTTATTGTAGTAACTGTTGGTGTGCCTAATAAATAAATAAATAAATAAATAAATAAAGTTATTCAAATGATGAAATGATTACGTGGAAAAAAAAATCGCTATACTAATATCCTGAATATAAAAATTGATAAATCAGTGATAGACTAATTGAAAGCCTTCTTACATTATAGATTTTCTGTTCAACATACACCAAAAAATTTGCACAAGTTAGTATTTTCATAAAATGTATAGTTTATTAATAAATTAATCCTTTAGTGATCACTGACCGTTCACGTAAATCTTAACCAGCTACAGCTGCTATGTTACACGCTACGTCGATGTACCGTTTGATGTAGCGTTGGGAATGAATACCTATGATACACGCATGGCCACAATCACATTTGACGTTAAGCGATGATGTTAACGCGATTATTCACAAAATGCCTATTCACTCTAACCTTGAATAGCCCTACTTCTATTAGTTTTCTCAAAAGGTACACCTACATCAAAATCCAGATATAGAAAAAATATGCCTCAGATATTCTGATTATTTTTTAAGACGGTATTAGTTCCTGTCGTACAGTAATCGCCGCTAAAGTGAGATATAAATGACCAACATTTACTACGGCGCTATCCTTCACAACGATAACAAAAAACAAATGCTGGTACTCCAACGCCGTCCCGAAAAAGAAACGCGTAAAGAATGTCCTCAGGCTTCACAAACATTATGCACATCATAAAATCTTATTCACCACACGTGCGTCAATGTTACACTCTTTTTTGTTTCTTTTCATATACTCTTTTGTCATGACGTTATAAGAATAACTGCGTTTTTTTTTGAAGTTAGAATTTAATTGGAAATGAAACTATTTTTAACCGACTTTAAAAAATGAGGAGGTTCTCAATTCGACTGTATGTTTTTTTTTGTATGTATGTTACGCGACAACTCCGGTATTTGTAAACCGATTTTCATGATTCTTTTTTTGTTAGAAAGAGGATACCTCCATAGTGCTCTTGTTTCATTTTGAAGAAAATCGTCCATTTCTAAGGGTGGCTGTTCACGCATGAAGCTTCATTTTTATAAATAGCGCCTAAATTTTGCTTAAGGAGCAATTGTTTCTTTTGCACTAGACACACAATATCACACCTAATACTATGAAAATTCTCAATAAAGGTTAGCTATCTTTGTAATTTCTTACTGCACTTATTTATTCTAATATATATTATAATCTATGTTAGTAGTGACATAATTAATTTAATCTCATTTATTTACTTGTGTAGAATTTAATTTTGGGACCCGGTCGACGCATGAATGCGTAAGGATACGACGGAAGAACAGCGCCAGTCTCCAGACTGGCATTAAGCTGAGTCGTGGCCTTTTCATGGTTGCATACAACACATTGTATATATAAGCTTATTATTTAATTTTAGGTTTTCACATTTTCCTCCTGTATTTTATTTTGCTTGTTTTTGTAATTGTGTTTCTATTTTTGGTTATTGTGTTGTATGTACCGATGAATAAATGTTTTTCTATTCTATTCTATCCTTGTTTTAGTGGTTGGTTTTGCTAATCTCTAATTCAAGGCATATTTCTCTCCCAATATACTTTGAGTAGTGAGAACCGATTTTTATTATCTCCTGTGTCAAATCCTGTGTAGGGGCGAACTAGGATAGGAGGATATTTCAATAAAACTTGGCACATAGTCGTAATTCCACGTAATTTGGAGGACGGTTTTTTTAGTACTCTGTAATGAGATTATTTCAGATCTAAAACTATTAGTTCGAGAAATAAATTAACATTTCGGATTTTAGTGCCAAAATAATGTGAATTTATTGTTTTGCTAAATTGTATAATACATTTTTTTACCCGAAACGTTGACTTTTGAAAAAAAAAATACACACAATTTTAGTTCCCAAAAATAAACTTCCGCTTCCAATAATTCATTGCTATGCCTATGTATATCTGCTGACTTGGATTCAGCTGTGACCATGAGACCTGTAAAGAACCCGAAACAAACGGTTTGTGTGAAAAAAAAAACCAAATGATTTTAGTAGCAGTAGAGCTCCTTGTGAAAGAGTTCGTCCAGGGAACTAATGCCACCTTATCTGTTTCGCCGCCAAGCAGTAATGTTGGCATTACTGTGTTCCGGTTTTGAAGAGTCAATACCCTTGTAAATCACACGTACCTGTAATTTCACCAGCACCAATGTGCTGGTGAAATTACAGGTACGTGTGACTTGTCAACTTGTGTCTTGCGATTTAAAGAGCTGAGTGGCGCTGCGATTGTTATGGACAAGCGTGTAGTACCATCAGGTGCACGACTTGTTCATCCCGTCACTTGATATAAAAAAAAAGGTTTCAAAAATATACTTTCGTTTCGAATAAAATGTTTTGCAAAAATGAATTACTGATACATATATTTGTTTGCGTATATTTGCTGACATGGAGTCAGCTGTGACGACAGGACTGGTCAAGAACCCGAAACGTTGGTTTGTTTAGAAAAAAATTACGCTATTAGAACTCCAAAAAACTTACTGTAAAATTATAAATGCTTGAAGTACGTTAGCATTTGTTATTTCAACTTTCGTTTCCAACAATTCTTTGTTTTACGAAATTGAATCAATATATTTGTTTGCGTATATAAAATATGCTGACATGGAATTAGCTTTGATCATCGGACCCATTGACTTACAATTATATGGACGTCGGGTCCGCGCTAAAAAGTGTCCGAACTTATAGGGCGTTAAAATCGTACACAGAGCGTCATTCACGCTTTAGTCTTCGTTTGTTCGACTGACAGCGAAGCAAGCAAAATTAGACAGTACTGTGATGACATTACAATTTAAATTCAACGTTTTAGCTTTTTCATATTCCTTTACGTGTCACTACGTTTAAATACGAGTAGGTTGACTTGGGACATTTTTTTCGTGGTTTTTGTCTTAGACCCGTCGTCCATTTATTTGTAAGTCAATGATCGGACCTGTAAAGAACCTAAAACATTGGTTGGTTTGAAAAAAACAAACGCGATTTTAGTTCCGAAAAAATAGTTTCGTCTCCAATGTGTAGCAATGGCGAAAACCTAAGAACTCGTTACAAATTTATGTCAAGAAAAACCACGCTAAACTATCAGAATTTCAATTTCCATAACCTTTTGAATTTACTGTATTGGAATGAAAAACACGTACATCGCTTGCAGCAGCTTCAGAGTAACTTTGTTTTGATCAAACCCTGAACAGTCAATAACCAACCTCGACCTAGACTACCTCACTTGCCTAATCTGGCGCTAGTTTATAGGGACTCGGTATCGATTTCGTTAAGATCAACCAACTTTTCGAAATTGGTGCTGGTTTGGTTAGATGTTCTAAGTAGAGGAGGGTATCAATTCGACAGAATTTTTTTTTGTACGTATGTTAAAGGATTTTGATGGTTTTTTTTTGTTGGGAAGATGGTACCTCAGTATTGGTCCCATTTAAATTTGAAGAAAATTTTCCGCTTCTAAGGGAGGCAAATTAGAGGATGAGTCCGGTTTCGCTCACTTCCCGTTAACTTATTCAAATGAAATTGGGCAAATAGATCCGATAATAATCTCAGTACAGAGTACTAAAAAAACCGACCTCAAAATACGTGGAATTACGTGTATTTGCTAAGTTTTATTGAAATATCCTTAAATTCGCCACTATACAGGACTTGACACTGGAGATAATAAAAATCGGTTCTCACTACTCAAAGTGTATTGAGAGAAAAACGCCTTGAATTGGAGAAATAGCAAAATCAACCATTAAAATAATTGCTCCTAAGTAAAATTTTGGCGCTATTTATAAAAATGAATCTTCATGCGTGAACAGCCACCCTTAGAGGTAGATCCTTCAAAATGAAATGGGACCACTATGGGAGTACCCCCTTTCCAACAAAAAAAGAATCATGAAAATCGGTTCACAAATACCGGAGTTATCGCGTAACATACAAACAAAAAAAAAAACAAAAAAAAACATACAGTCGAATTGAGAACTTCCTCCTTTTTTAAAGTCTGTTAAAAAAGCCGATAATCAAACTTTTGACGACGGTTTTTTTATTAAAAAAATTATAATTATTGCGTACTTGTATTACAGAGAATCGCTTCGTTTTGGTCCTCAAAGTAGTTATAAATTAATGGTTACCTATGTAAAAATAATTATTAAACAACTTCCAGCAATTCCTCTGTTTTATTGTAAGTTTTATTCTTAACCCAGAATTTGACCTATGCACCCGTGTACCTATGTACAACTTAACACGCAAGACTACATACATTTTCTATTTATTTTGTTACAATAGTTTATTGCATTTGTGCTGTGATTTATATAACACGAATTCAACTCAAGCACCCCCAGTCTGATTACACGTCACATTGAATAATAAATTGCGAAAGATGCCGACGTTATTACTACTTGGGTAAACCGCGAGAGCGCTTTTGACGTTCG